CGATCTCCCCAAAACCCCAAAACCCCAAAACCCCGTGATGCCATTTTGAGATAATTGAAGTAGATGATTAAATTCACAAGGATTAGTTATAATTCTTATTGGGTTGAGTAATGATTACGATTGTTTTATCAAATTAATTCTATTTTCTCATTATTAATAATGGCGATCCCAATCAAAATTGGAAATTACAAACTAGGAAAAACTCTCGGCTCTGGGTCTTTTGGAAAAGTCAAGCGTAAGATTAGCCTTCTTTATTTGAAATTTAATGAAACTTACCTTTGATAATTTGTAGTTGGGATAAATGAAATTACACAATAAAAAGTAGCAGTCAAAATACTAAAAAAGAGCTAAATTAAAAAGCTTGGTATGTTTGACAAAATTAAGCGAGAAATAAAAATTTTGAAGCTATTCAATCATCCACATATAATAAAGCTCTTCGACTTTATTGATACCTCATCTGATATTTTCGTAATTCTTGAATACGCTTCAGGAGGAGAACTGTTTGATCTTATATCCAGATAGGAAAAGGTAAGTAATTCTTAAGAAGCTTCTACTTTGATTGAATAATCACGTCATTCGATCTATAATCAGAAATAAGGATAATTCTTTCATGAATCTATTCCATTTAACCCAAATCAATTATCATGTTTAATGTTAAGAATTTTATAGCTCGAAGAATGTGATGCAAGGAGACTTTTCTAATAATTGATTTCAGGACTAGATTACGCGCATCAGCATAAAATTGCTCACAGAGATTTGAAACCTGAAAATCTTCTATTTGACTCTAATATGAAGTTAAAAATTGGCGATTTTGGTCTTTGTAATATTATGAAGGATGGCTCAAGTTTGAAGACATCTTGTGGATCCCCCAATTATGCAGCTCCAGAGGTTATTTCCGCTACTTTTTATGATGGGAAATAAGTTGATGTTTGGAGCTGTGGTGTTATATTATATGCAATGTTGAGCGGTTAACTGCCGTTTGATGAAGATCAGATGCCTGCCTTATTTCATAGGATAAAAAAAAGCAAGTTTTATATGCCAAACTACATATCAGACGATGCAAAAGATTTGATTAGCAGACTTTTGTAACCTTTGCCCATTAAAAGAATGAAGTTAGACGAAATTAAGAGTCATTCCTGGTTTAAAGTTGAGATTCCTATTTATCTAGAACGACTACTCAATAAGAAATCTTTAGTTATTACTAAATCTGAGAGTAGACAATAGAATAGATCATCTAATTAATATTAGAATGAAGATATTGATCAAGACATTGTCAATTAGCTTTTTAACGTAATCATTTAAATTAAATTGACTTATTTTCTAGTTAAATCTAAACTTGAATCCTGACAACAGAGGGCATATCATAGACTAAATTAAGGACAGGAAAAACATTGATTTTTGTGTTGTTTATGAGTTCTTAGCCCATCAAAAACTCCTTGACACTTGTTTTTCAGATGATCTTCAATAATGTGCAAATAAAAATTATGAAGGATGCCAAAAATCAGAAGGTATTAAAAGTTAAAGAAATTAAGTAAGCGCTAAGTAAAAGCAGAGACTGAAGCTGATAAATAATAAATGGAAAAATCCAGAGCAGTTTTGCTTTAGAAAGCTGTAGAAGAATAACTTTAAGAAAATCGAGGATCGATAAATGTCATTTGCATCAACTTAATGTCATTCTACTGGACAAGATTTTGACTCACCTATTTTAGAAAGTTAGAATTAGAATATAAATGAGCAACTAATGATATTGCAAAAATAGGCATCATTCCAAGAAAGATTGAGAAAATTGTTGCCCAAAATACCAAAATAATTCGGATTAATGTTTAAAGGTAATGTGAATGATTTCATAAGAATTCTGACGCACTGTATGGTAAGTGCTAACTTCTAGTGGTAAACTAGCTATAAAGACATCAAGTTCAAGTGTAGAACTAAACTTACAGAATCTGATATCTGGGATGATCTTTGTGGAGATTCATTCCTCGATGACTTTATGAGAAACGACTTCATCAAATTCTATGCGCAGCTGTTTAAATGGAATAAAGAGATGCCAGATATTTATTATTTAGATGTGACATTCATCAAAGCTGCTCAAAATTGTGTTCTTCTAAATAAAATCTAAGACTTGCTAGATGATGTTAAAAAGAAAATAAAGACGTGCTCAAGTTTGCATTATATAGCCACCTTGACGATGATAGAAGAAACTCTTCCTAACAAGGGTCAGGGATTTGAATTGGTACCTAATATTAAGAGGGCTAGTGTATAAGAAGAAGTAGGTCTAAATGATCTTTCTTTAAGTGGAACAAATATCATGAATCTAAACTACACAGAAGGAGATCGCTTTTATACTCCACAGATTTAACACTACTAGCTTTAGTAGTAAGTAAATCCAGTTAAATGAAATAGTAGTAGATCCAGATCCAATAAATTAGATATAATTCTAGACCTAAGTTTATGACTATAAATATATGAGTGATTCATAATTCGATGATGTTAGTTAATAATAGTATTTATCTTTCTTTTTCCAAGTCTCCCTTTTTCACCCAGGGCTAAGTCGCGGTTTTAC